CTCATGTACTTCATACGGTGAGTAGTGGGAGCCGCCCCCGTGAGGAGAGCTTGGAGCTTCCCTGGGCAGGTGTGTGGATTTTGCAGGTGGCAGAGGGAGGGAGGGCAGTGGGTTGGGATGGCATGGCAGTGCTTCCCCTGGTGGTGCTGGGGGGCTGTAAGCACCACACCTCTTCCCTCACGCTGGTGCTGGGCCTCAGAGAGCTACTCTTAAAATGGTGTAAAGTTGTCTGAGTGCACCCCCAGCTCAGGAACAGGCAGGTGTAAATCTGGCTGAAGTCAGCAGCACTGCCTGGGAATTGGCTTCTTGGTTTGCTCGGCTCCTGGTTCACCCCCTCGCTGCTATAAATAAACACCTAAGCTCCAAGAAAACGTTAAACCGCAGCGCAGGAGAGGACGTCTTCCGTCTCAGCAGAGATAAGAGGAGTGAAGATGAAGTGATTGGCCACTATTTTTAAGCGCCTTTCCAAACTGGGGCTTAATTACCCCTCTGAAGCTGTCCTGCTGGCGCAAATACTCCAGTTATCCGCTTAATTAAAAATAAACGGGAAGGCATGCTAAGGCTGGATCGTTTCATCTTCCCGTGTTGACTCTGAGCAAACAGATGCTTCTGTGATGGCCTCCAGCCAGTTCTCTTTTTTTAATCTCCTCTTGGCTTTGCATAAATCAACAACTTTGGCCCAAAACCTGTGTGATCCCTTCAGGTCCAGCCCAGTGTCTTCCTGGTGGCTGTTTGAGTCACTTGGTTTCGGTCTGTCCTGCCGCGGTGTTGCAGCTGCTCAGCTCTTTGCCACAAGCTGAATTTCCTTTTTTTCACCCATTTTAAAATACTGATGATTGACACTTCAGGATTTCGGATCACTCGTGCATCTGCGGGAGTCAGTGAGGAGATGATATGGGTCAGGTGTCCTCCCCTTGTTTGATGTGCTGTATGGGAGCTGCTCCTTCATGTAGAGCTGTGAGATAGTCCTTGGAGGGCAGAGGAGTAGGTTACAAGTAAACATGGCAAATTCAGGTTTTGGTTTGTTTTAATAGCTCGGACTGAAGTCTCTGAGCGATGATGCCTGTGCTGGGACTGGTTTCATACCTGTAAATACGGCCCACCAGGGAGGCTCCAGTGTTCTCTGCAGCCACCCTAGAGCTGACCCGGAGTGGGGAGAGCAGGTCCTGGCCCAGGTGCCAGCCCTTCCTTGGAGCTGCCTCGCAGCCTCTTGATCCCCTCTGTGCCAGGACTGTCTTGGAAGGACTGACAGCTCCTCTCCAGCTGCCCTGTCCTTGCTCTCCTCACATTCCTGTGTCAGTGGCGCATGTCTCTGCGTCGCAAACGTCTCTCACCTGTCACTGTCACCTTCCTGTCTGGTGAGTGGGGTGGGTGAGAGAGGCCTTGGGGGATTACACTGCCACTCAGCTCTTCTCTGCTCGCCTAAATTTGGCCTTGGTGAAGAACTCAAGCGGAGTCTCTGGAATGCAGAAGGGTAATTTTGTGTTCTCTCCCCCAGAGATGACTCGGCTGAAGTGGATGTTTACAATCCAGCGAAGAATGAATGGGATAAAATCCCTGCCATGCTTCAGGTAAGAGGTTTGTCCACTTCTGGGATGCCTTAAGTGTTACAAATGGATTTCATTTATCTTGGGAAAACCAGCTGCTCTTTAGATCAGAGCCCCTCATGTGCAGAACGGGTTTAAGAGTGTCAGGGTCACTGGGAAGCCAAAGCGGCGGCTGTGACGGCGTGTCCAGGTGTTCAGCCCAGCACGAGAGCTGTGGGCCGTGCTGGTTCAGAGCCCGAGCTGTGGCTGGCGGGGGCAGAGCCCGCTCCAAGGAGCAGCTGCGGGACTCGACGGGCTGCCGGAGTGGGCACACGGCGATCACAGTGTGTGTCTGTCGTCATGTTGCAGGTTCACGTTGGGGGGAGCGTGGCTGTGCTCGGTGGGAAGCTCTACGTCTCGGGGGGCTACGACAACACGTTTGAACTCTCGGACGTCCTGGAAGCCTACGACCCCGAGACGCGCACGTGGAGCGTGGTGGGGCGGCTCCCCGAGCCCATATTCTGGCACGGCAGCGTCAGCATATTCCGGCAGTTCATGCCAGAAACCACGCAGGAGGATGATGACATCACGCTGGACAACACCATCAGCTTGAGCAGGCAGAACCAAAACCTTCACAACCAGAACCTCAACGAGCTGCCCTAGCACAGGAAGCTAGGGCACGAGTCCCTCATCCAGAACCTGAGTTGATTTGGGAGAAGGCTGAAGCAAACCAGTGCTTGGAAACAAAACCATACTGATCACCGAGGTAGCGAGTGCTTGTGGCTGTTGGATGTGCTGCTGTGGGAGCACAGGCAGCGAGGCATCTGCTGCCTCCGTCATCCCTTCGGGGCGTGAGACAGCGCCACGCTGCCGCGGGGCCCCGAGAGCTGACCCACGCTGCAGCACTGCCACTTAGGGCTTATAGCTGGACACCTTTCACTGGAAGCTCCTTCACCCTGTAATGCTTCGTTTGCCACCAAACTCCTTCCTTTAGTTTCTCTTTTGGGAAGAGGTCTGTCTGGTAGGACAGTGGTCTGGACACCCCCACACTGTTCTGTGCCTCGAGGGGAGACAGACTCTTGTGCACGTGTTGAGATTGAAAGGTAGTTATTTTTGTGGTCTATTTTTTCTTTTTGTTTGGGTTTTGCAGTTGTGTTTTTGGCCTCTGTAAGATTTGCCTTTATACTTGCCCAAGTGCCCTGGCCAGGTGGGCTCAGTTTTTATCTACCTTTGCTGAAGAGCAGCTGTGCGCAGTTTGCTCGTGGAATGTTTCTGGACAAACAGACGGGAGAGCCCTGAAGTATGACAGCAGCTCAGGTGTGGCTGGATGCGTTTGCTTTTCTTTGGTCTTTCATTTTTAGCCAATAGAGGAACAATTTGCATCTAAACTGAGTTCGGAGGTGGGAGGCCTGCATGCTCCATCATTCGCCTCCAGGCTTGGCTCTGGGTTGAGGAGCCCCATCTGCACAGCATCAGCATCGTCGCAGCTTTACGGAAGCAACTTTTGCCCCGATGGCTGTTTGCGGCTGCCGCGCCCCTCCGCCGGGGAAGCCCGGGCTGTTCGGCAGCCTGGTACACTGACAGTGCCTTTGGCCGGCCACGTGCTGGCAGAGACCGCACGGGGACGGCGCCACAGCCCCTTTCTCTGAGCTATAAATCAATCGCGCTCGTCGCTCGCTGCTGGACCCCAAACCCCACGTGCTGAGCAGCTATGGATCTGTATTTATTTTTTGTAGAATTCATTGTGTTGAATCTTCGAGTACAGTTTAACTCCATCCTTTGAAACAAAGGCATTTTACATTTACAGATAATGTATTTTTATTCTCATAGTCTGTTTTTAAATTGACTTGCAGCAGTCAAGTTAAATAAAATCCGTTAAACAACTTTGTTGCCCGTGAGGGGAAGGGGCCTGGAGGGAGATTTTACTGGGAGTTTCTCATTCCAGGTATGCTTGAACTGGAGCCTGTCTGTCTTCTTGGGGAGTACAGGGGGAAAGGGGGGAGAGCACGTCTGTGACTCTGGGCTGGGGGGGACACACAGATATCTCCCCCCACCCTGACACCGCTCAGACGAGAAATGAGGCGTGTGTTTAATGGAGAAGATGCTCCTTTCACAAGCGTTTAAGGAAAGGGCAGAGCGGCTCTCTCTGGGGGAAGGTGAGCTTTGATTGTGAACAGGGGGAGAGGGCTGGAGGGAAGGGGGGCAGCACCAGCCCATCCAGTGTCAGAAAGTGACCACTCAGTAAGGTCAGTCCCATCCCACTGCACGGGGACCTTGACTGAAGTGGCCATTCTGAGCTGTTTCTTTCCTTACCACTCCCTCACCATATCACAGGAATTTCCTTTCCCTGCAGCCTGGGGTGGGAGATTGGACAGAGGGAGGGTGGGGGAGCGGATGCACAGCTCGGAAGAATAAGTGTGGCAGAGTGGCTCAGCCCAGTACTTTATTGTATTTCAGTGAACGGGAAGGGAGGCTGCACTATGTCTCACAGTCTTCAGGAATCGCCGCCGTTATTATCAGCGATTGCTCGATCACGTCTGCCGTGGAGAAGTTCTCGTTTGAGCAGTCTCTCTGCACAGGAACCTCCTCAGGCAGCGGCCCACGGGACAGCGACTCCACGATCACCTCGGCCGAGCCCACCTCCAGCTCTGGGGGTGGCTGCAGCACCACCACCACCTCCTTCTCGTCCTCGATGATCAGGTTCCGCAGCTTTCGCTGCCGGGGATTATAGTTCTCCACGCGGTCGTGGATCTCCATGTGGCGCCTCAGGTGGGCCTGCGGAGGAAGGGGACGTGCAGGGCCCGGTGAGGGCTGGACCCCAGGGACCTCAGGGACCCAGAGCCGGGGAAGGCCTCACCTGCCGCGTGAACTTGTAGCCGCACTCCGTGCACTCAAACTTCCTCACGCCCTT